AAAGCTAAGCTTTCACAATTTAACTAGCTTGCTGCTATGATTTTGAAGTCCCTCTCAACTTAGATATGTAGATGACAATCGTTTAGGGCGTGCGCGACGATATTTTTGAGTCAGGTTAAATTTATGTGAGTTGAGTTGAGTGTCTTCACATGACTTGTAGTTTTTTTGTTTTCGTTAGTTCTATGCATTCTGTATGTGTCAGGGCAGAGTTATGTGTTGAAGAATCTCGCTTCAGAAGCTTCAGGATTCAGGTTCAGGAGTGATGTTCACGGTAGTAGGATTATTGGATGTGTGGAAGTTGAGTGATGGGGACTCACAAGAGCAAGCCGCTCGAAATTGCACACGGGTTTATTTATGTATATTGCGGATAGGAATGACGAGAATCGTGTGAAGCGCTACACGATGGAGGGGAGATTTTGGTTGCCTGGGGTAGGGTCCGCTTAGCTTTTCCAAGCTTTGTGTTCGATGTCCCCCCTTGTCGCTCTCGCTGTGAGCCGACATTTCATATAGCTAATCGAAGACTCCTGACGTGGCGATTGTCACTCAAGAGGTTATAAAGGTGTTGGAGGTTTCTCCGGAGTTAGAATATGAGATTATCGCATGGGATACAACATTGTGGCTGCATTCTAGTTACATTTCACCATGGCATCCCCCAGCCAGGTCATCGTCGTCGGAGGCGGTCTCGCCGGATTCTCTGCCGCTAACACGGTATTGGAGAATGGCGGCAACGTTCTCTTAATTGATAAGTCTGCCTTCTGCGGCGGTAATTCTTCCAAGGCTACCTCTGGTATCAACGGTTCTTGCACTAGAACTCAGAAGAAGCTCGGCGTTGAGGATTCCAACGAGCTCTTCGAGTCCGATTGCATGAAGGGTGGCTCCAAGAGCCCCGAACTCATCAAGACCATGGTCGAGCATTCCGGTAACTCCGTCAACTGGTTGATGGATAACTTCGATCTTGATTTGTCCCTTCTCGCCCGTTTGGGTGGTCACTCCGCTGAGCGTACCCATCGTGGTAAGGAGCGCTTCCCTGGTATGACCATCACCTACGCCCAGATTCAGATGGCTGAGGCTATTTCCAAGGCCCAGCCCAGCAGGTGCCAAATTATCAACAAGGCTCGTGCCACTGATCTTATCAAGAACGAGAAGGGTGAGGTTGTTGGTGTTGAGTACACTAC